TAATGTTTTTCCTAGGTGTGACTAAATACACTCGAAAACATAAAAAAAAAACCCGATCACTTAGATTATAACACTTTTTAAAAATCTTGTTTTACTGTATACAGTACGACAGTTGCCATTGTCGGAAAATCTAGAGGGTTTTGTTGTCTCTGTCATTCCGGGACACCTCTATATTCTACGTAGTTATAAATCGTCACTTCCAATTGCTTTCATTTTCAGTTCTAAATATCAAGACGCTTTTGTTTACAGCATAATTTATACGACAAGTTCAAATTGGTAGACGATTGAAGGGCGTTATTTAATCATTTTTAAATGTAGATTTCACCCGAAACTCTGTCCGAAACTGGTAGGAAAAGTGTAGATATTGATTCAAATCAAGAGTGAACCGAGCCTGGCACCTAGTAATATCGAAGATTGCAATTGTCGTAACTTCATTTTTTATATTATAGACTAATACTTATTTAAGTAATTTTTTTATTACAGTATGTTATCGAGTTTATTCGGACACAGTTTGGAAAAAAAATATACACAAAATACACCATTCCTACTTAAACAAAGCGCCTATGGAAAAAAGAGATAACTTGCAATGGCGTATTAAATATAACCATCTTCATATATAAAAAACCAATATAATATTAAGAGCTAATATCTTCATATAATAGAGCACCACCTTCATATAAAATAATCACAGCATAATATAAAAGAGCACCATCTTCATATAAAATAACCACTGCATAATATAAATAAAAGAGCACCATCTTCATATAATAGAGCACCATCTTCATATAATAGAGCACCATCTTCATATAAAATAACCACAGCATAATATAAAAGAGCACCATCTTCTTATAATAGAGCACCATCTTCATATAAAATAACCAAAGCATAATATAATAGAGCACCATCTTCATATAAAATAACCACAGCATAATATGAAATAGCCACATAAGGCAGCTATGGCGTTCCATACTTAATCATATAATAAATTCAAATGATGCATATGCACTCAATCAAATATTCAATTGTCGTGAGTACTGAACAATGCGGATATTGTTGCATGCTCGCAAAGATCAATTTGTATATATAGAACTGTATGTGATTTATTTATTTCCAATGCATTTGAATTTATATACCAGGGTACTTTCCATGCATTATTTTTTAAGGATGCTTGCACTCGACAATAATGCAACAACAGTTAAAATACTAGTATATAATATAAAAAAGTAATTTTTATGGATATGTTGAATATTGAAAAGATTAGCTCTACATGGTTCATACTTTTTGTCCCTAACTGAAACTGGTGGATATAAATTTCGGTCTGTCCGTCCGTCTGTAGTACTGTCTACAGCTAGGTGTGTGCGCTTTCGTTTCCACGCGATATCTCGAGAATCCTTTGAGCTTTTGCAATGAAATCTTACACACCTGAGGAAGAAAAATATTGATTTTGGGGTCAAAAGGTCAAAGTCATAAATTTTTAAAAAAATATCTCTGTTTTAACAGTTTTGTTTCCGCAGAATATCTCGATTAACCTTTGAGCTTTTGCAATGATATTTCAAATCACAACTCTCAATGGTTTAAAGAAGACCCCTATTAAATTTGAGATCCAAAGGTCAAGGTCGTAAATCCATGCATTTTATGTGTATGTGTAAAACTTCATTTTCAGGAGATATCTCAAGAAGCTTTTGAATTTTTTTTCGCAATTAAATGTTATACCATAACTCCCTCTGCCATCCCCCGCCGCCCTTCTGTCCGTCCCTCCGTTCCTGCGTGTAACACTTTCATTTCTAAACGATATCTTGAACACTTTTGCAGTATTTGAACTCTTCAACTATGTGGCGTATGTCCTTAATGCTTATGATTATGATGAACTGTTTTTGTAAAAGAAATTGCTCAAGAATTAAACTAGCTGAAAGAGAAATGAGATATTTGTTTTATTAGGATAATCTTGATATAACGAATTTGTGCATACAAAAAAATTAATATAAATAATTAAGAGCTAATATCAGCCTTTCAAAGCTGAAACCATTGTTTAAAAAGGATGACTCAGAGAAATGGTAAAATTAATGCTTTTATTCAAAGAAAAACATATCAAATCTGGAATAGGGGTTTGGTGGGGGTTTAACCGGAGACTCCAAACACAAAAACAGTTCATCATACACCACTAGACTATACACACACAATTAAGGACATACGCCACATAGTTGAAGAGTTCAAATACTTCAGTAGAGTCTGGAATTGTGTGCTACATTTTAACGTCTATTTATACTGTTTTACCCTTATTCCAAAACACGTTTGGATTTTTGTATATTTTACTTTGAAAACGCCAATGTTTCATTACTAGCAGATTTTTGTCCCCGTAAAGTGCACCTGTAGTTCTAAAGTACATGTAACACACTACTGTACTACTGCGAACTAATTAATCAAAATGAAAAAATAAAGCGATCCAGTGGGGCCCTGACGGATAAAAAGAACAGTTCATGCTTTAAAAGTTAGACCTTAATCTTTTCATAATCTCTTAAACACAAAATATCACTTTGAATATTGAAAAATGTAACGTATTAATTATGATTATGAATGTTGGTCAGTGTGGAGACTCTGTTATTAATAACTACAGCTACAAAGCTACACAAACGTTAACTGTTGAAAATTGACCGGAACACAGAGGAGGTAGACGTTCAAAATGAGCGAGATATCCACTACTGGATTTAAGTATCTCTCCGTCCACAAAAAATTGGAAGTGGAACTAGACAAGAATATGAAGAAGATAAATAAAGAGGTGATGAAGCGCCGACATTCGCTATTTTTGGAGACCGAGAGTGTTCGACAAGATATACAGGAAATGACGAAAGCTGCCCAAGAAATTGACACCATATTTGGACCCGAATTCACGGAAGAAATGGCTAGAAAAATGTTTTCGTCTAAAAACGGACGATTAGACACGGAGGAGGAAGCATCAAAGACAACGTCGTATACACTGACGCAGGCACGAAACGCAATGAAGGAACTCAAGAAACGAAAGAAAAAAGATAAATTACTGCAAAACAAAATGAATCACATACGGAGGAAAAGTATCGCTAAACATGCCAAGAGACTGTCTAAAGCTTACGAAGACGACGATAAAGATCTTGCAATGATGATTGATTCTTTGAAAAATTTGACTGTTTTTGGAAGGAAAACAGAAGCAGGAAACGTTTCACTGCCTTATGTTAATGTGTCCGAGAATCAAAGTGATACTGGAAGTAAACAGTCTCGTTTTGGTGCGTCTAAATTATCATCACAACGTTGGAAAACTCTTAAAATCAGTAGAGAACTCTCCCTACCCGTCATTTCTAAAGGGCGTGATAATCACGTGATTAAGATGCCAACAGTGGCAGGTGATGTTGACCAATCACAAGAGAGACATCCTATGACTGACCGACCTAAAATGCCAGCAAGAAATAGTTTTGATCTTTCAACTTTACCAGCAATCTCACTCGGAAAACAAAAACTTGAAAAAGGAGAACTTCCATCAAAATCAGACAGAAGTGATGGTAAAAAGGACACTGAACACGAAGGAAAAGAAAATTCCGGATTCACGATTAGTAAATACCTCTCCGAAGTACATGACAACTTACCCAAAGAGACGCTTTTAGAAATTGAAAGAATGGTCAAAGAGGAGTCGTTCTTTTTGTGAATTCTTTAACATATCATTTAATCATTTTACTTCATCATATTATTATTGCTCCTTTTATTCTTTATTTATCATAATAAAAATTACAATTAAAGTCAATGTCTGCAGTTTTATAATCCTACTGAAGTTTATAATCAGAACCGCGCCGTAAATATTCTTGAATTGTACATATACTTATCTGGTGGAATTAAAGTTGAATATCATATATATTGGTAAAATAATTTGATGAAGAAAACAACAATGTTGTTATGGTTACCAAGAAGGGAAAATGTCCGATTTTGTAAACTTAATATCAATATTAAACCCTGTGTGCCAGTTTCCTGCATCCAGTTAGGGACTGGACGATAGTCAAAATTAAAAGTCAATTTAGCCGTTAATAAATATAAATCATAAAAGTTTTGGGAATCTGCATTTAAGGATATGTATCCAAGGAAACAAAATATTTTTTCAGCTTATTTCCATAGCAACGCTCTATTCAAAGAATCTGTTTGAAGTTTTTTAATGGGAAAATTAAGACCACAAAACAACTTTAAAAATCGATCGTCAGTTATATAAGGGAATGTGCTTTTTTGTAAAGATAGGATCAGATTTAAAGAGACTGGGTGGTCGTGGCCATTTTTAGACTAATTTGATCTCCTTTAGAAGAAGAGCTCCATATAAAGATATAATAAAATGATCAAATTTTAAAAGTAAAATTTATTAAATTTTTCTTTGCCAAATGATAGTTGACAGCTCAAGATATCATATCTAAAAAAATAAGTTATATCTCGTGGTCAATAAGAAAATTTGAAGGCTTTCTGTGGTATAAAAACCTTGGCAACCATTGCCAATCAAAATGAAATGTCATAATTTGTTCTTGATATATCTTTCAAGACTCTTTTGTCCGTATTTCCATAACTAAAATGAGATAAATATTAATGAATCATCTTGAATGAAGATCTTTAATTGATAGGATTGATATTTAATATATTTTAAAACAAATTTTGTTGCAAATTCATATGTATCAAGTTTCATCCAAAATCATTAATGTTTACGCACCTGTTGATCTAAAAGAGTGTCAAGTAGAAACAATACGTCTACGTAATGAATGGTTACTCATCTATTTCTTTTATTCCATTCCATTGAGATTCTATCAGCTATAACTTTCTTATTCCATTCTTTTAATAGTCTATACAGGGATATCGAATAACAAAGCCAGTCAAAAGAAACAAGTTATTCTATTGCTACTATAGAAATGAAATAGTTGTGCATTGAAAAAATGAAATGTTCGAGATATGATACTAATTCCTCTAATCAACCTAAATATTTTGCGGTTAAGTCTTCAAAATTAGTTCATTTTGAAGCACCCCTTCAGAAGGATCCAGGCTTTTGAACAAGTGGTCTAGTGAAGATTTAGAGAATAAGATTGACTTTCATCAGAGTTGATACAATGGAATCTTCAAATTGTTGTACTGCCGAAGACGGAATTAATGAAAACCTTGTCAGGAGTGAACAATGGTGTATTTGCTTTAATTGTATGCATAAGGCGGAAAAAACAGTGAACGCACCTGTCGGCAGGTATACAACTTTTAATTTCATCTTGATTTTGATAAAACTAATTTATATCAAGTTTTCTATTTAAAACTTTTATTTACGACCAAATTTTGCATATAAGGCTGATTATGTCCAAAAATTAAAACAAAAGATGTTAACTACTAAGAAGTACATATATATGGCACATTATTATGTATTTAAAAAATATCTGATTTTTTTAAATTAAAAAATTTAAAATCTTTCCCTCTCCCTCTTTTTTTACTTGATGTCCCAAGTCCTAATATCTATACAGTGTACATAAGGAAACTATGTAACGTCAAATGTCTGTTTCTTTGAATGTCATTTGATTTTTTAAGCTCTGACCAATGTACAATGTTTTCAGGATTCCTGAAGCTAAGGAAATAGGAGAGAGACCATTCGGTCGCCTCACGGAGGAACTGACGAGGAAGCGAAACCAGGTGGCTCAAGGAATCTGTCGACAAAGATGTCGGTCATATAAAAAGGATTTAGACTTCGCCAAAAGTAAGATCAGGGCCAACACTGTAGACAATCTGCTAAATAATTACTCTCTCCTAAAAGAGGCGGAAACAATCGAAAACGAAAAATTGGACAAAAATATCCAAGAAGTGTCCAACAAAAATTCTCTCAGAAGATCTGGTATCCCTACAGTTAGTTTACGGAAAAGCGTGGAATTTGAAAAGGATACGACAAACAAACTCTCTCACGATAAGGCAACAAATAAGCCTCGTCTTAAACGAAGTGCAACATTTGTGCTGGAAGATTTGCCATCCCAGTCAAACTCAAACAAACGTACAAATTCAAAAGAACGAAAAACTTTCAGAGTATCTAGGAGTAAGATAAACTTATTCGAAGAAAAGGATGAAGAATCCGAGAAAAAGAAACAGGAAGTCAAACCAAAGTCACCCGCTGGTTCCCCGCGCCATGTTATACCAAGGCTGCTTGGGAGTGCTCCGAATCTAGATCCTTTTAAAAATAAAAGCCTGGAAACCAACTCACGAAATCAGCCGCAAACAGAAAGAAGCAGTACAAGTATTAAAACATCAAAGACAAATAAACAAACAGACAGTGAAGAAACGCGTGTCAATAAGAGTGCTTCTGAAGCAGAAGCGGAATATTTTCTTAAGCGGATTAATAGACTGTTTACAGCTTCGGAAGCAGACAAAGAAGTTGATACTAGTAAGCAAATGGAACCTCGCCCCCAATCTTGTCTACTTCCACCACAGAGTGTGGCTTCCTCACGCACGCGCAGTTTCCTCCAAAACACTGTCTCTAAATATAAGTGGGTCTTTATTCCTGGTGTAACTTACTACGACCTGGACAAGCAGCTTCTGTCAAAGCAACGTGAGAGAGAAAAAGTGAAAGTCCGGCAATTTGAGCTCGATACTATCGAAGCCGATTTACGCCGAAAGGAAACGAACATCAGGAGACTAGTGCGCAGAAGCACCAACATCAGGGAAGAAATGAGTCAAGTGACCACCGGACGACCACCAAGATGAAATTTTAATCATGCATCGCTCATTGTTTTTCATTTGTGTATTGTTGATATAAATTATAAGTATTTTAAGTTTTCTTTGACAGTAAAAGAACTCAATTCATGCGTTGTGTCTAGTTTATGATTTTATACCCTCCCTTGCATACATGAATAAAACCCCCAAAATTTTACAACTTGAACTTTAATTGTTTGTATCCAATAAATATAGATATAATAAATTATATAACTTATTACATAGAAAATATGAAAAAGATATGTTCATATATATAAAAGACATGAACACAAAGTCTGAATGGATTCTTGAAATAAACATGCATAACAAAAACTGACGTATCAGTTTGTGTATATTATATCCATCGAAATATTAAATTGGGTGTATGAGAAAAATTTAGAAATGGCCAGCACTGGTTAAGTAATCCGCTTACATAATATAAAATATAACATGTCAGGGATTAGACAAATTAAGAGGATTTTGTGTTTTGTCCACTCCGGGCAGATTTTCCACGTACAGCTTTATTTCTCTACTTTTAAGAAGAAGCATCTTAGTGTTCTTTTTATGTTTGGCGGTGTCGGCATTAATACTGGCTAGCTCTTGTCTGCTTATCTTTTCATTTCGTCTCTGTCTGTTTTCCATGATCGGGGCTGATTCAGGTCTGAGCAAAGACCGGTACTTGCCTGAATATTTTTGAATAAAAGTTTTAGTCCTCATTTCGGCCTCTCCCGTTTTGGAATTGAATCTTCTGCACGGAGGACGACCGATGTCCTTAATCACTTTAAGGTCTTTTGAATACTGGTCGTTGTCCTGGAGATCCCATTTCCTGATTATACTGGCCACACGCCGATTCCAGTACTCCGATAATTCATCATCCGGTCGCCGTTGTCGGTATCTATCAGCCGTCTTTGGTCGAGCAAAAGCATTCAATGATTCTGGTTCCGGACTTGCAGCCGGCGCCTCTTCCACCGATTTGGATTCACTTTCTTTTCTTGAAGCAGACGGTTTTCTTTCGCTGTTTTTCCTGAGATTGAGCTGCCATAGTTTTAAGTTACTTCCCGAAGTCGCGCTGGGAGACCCAACATTTGCAGAGCAGGGTCTAGAATCGTTTTCTTTCTGATTTGAACCACATGAACTCGCGTTAGAGAACCTCCTTTTGGATCTATCAGCACTTGAAACCCTTTGAACGTCAACAACGTTAGTCACAGTCCCTGCTTTATCACTACAGAGAGCGGGGCTTGCAGAAGACGGCCGATTTCTTAATTCCTTTATACCTGCACTTCCTTTTCGCGTTCGAACAGACGCTGTCATGGGCCTCCCCCGGGGAACTTTAGTTTCCGGTTTAGGGGGTACGTATTCATTCTCTATTTCGTAGTAAAACACGGGTATTTTGCCCTCTTTCTGGATTCGTTTTTCCTCCTCTTCCTCTTCTTTTCGTTTTTTCTGTTGTTCAAATGATTCGGCCTCCTGCAGCAAGTAGTATATAGAGTGAACACATTTCTCCTCGGTGATTTGGATCCGCCTCTGTGTAGATTTCCGTTCTTTTTCTAGTCGGTTGTAGAGACGCTCATATTGCTTCTGCAATAACGCATTCTTTCCAAACGCTTGGGGTTGACTAGATTTTAGTTGTTTTCGTATAGGCATACTGGGCTGAAAAACATTCATTTTGATTTGAAAACGAAATGAAAACGAAGTCTGCTTGACCAGTTTTAGTTTGGAACAAGAATATGAAGGTTTAATAAGAACGTTTAGCAACCAGCTAAATCTAAACAGAAAAGGTTCTTTATTCGCCACAATATCATTGTTAATTGAGAGAAACGTAATATTTAACTGGATTAATTTCACATTATCCGTCTAATTTAATTGGAATTAAGTTAAATTAAGGAATTAAAATGAATTTTCCTTATTTCTTTTTTTCTGACCCCAGGGCTTCTACACTACACACAGGATTACCGAGCATTGTTTCGACGACTCATCAGCTTGTGAAGCTGAGACAGACAGATTAGTAAATTAATAAATACTTTTCTTGAAATGTCAAAAAAGCAACACGCGCTTTAATTAAATGCATATTCAAGTACATTATACTTGATATTTTGTATTTTTATACAGGTAGTGTAATAAATAATATTTTAGTGTATTTGGTAAATTAAGTTGCAAATACTATTTATAAAGAAGTATCCATTCTTTTTAATAAAACAGTTGAAGAACACAATTTACAAATTAAGTAATAGAAGTCTCCCAAAGTTCCAAAACACATACCTTGAAGATACAGCCATGTCAGATTGTTACAATTCCTCTGTTATTGGGCTTAAGGAGGTTTTAAAATACAAAGAGCACCATCTCTACTATAAACGACTTAATCACCTGAGGGTTAATGCGTTTTATGTCATTTTATAATCCGATTTAGCCTTAAATTTCAAAAGCGATTAACAACTGATTGTAGTCCAACGTCTTGGTCACTGAAATGCAGGGATAAACAAAATCACTTTATCCTGTGCAATTTCGAGTTCAGTCACCAAGATTCTCCAAAAGAGATTCGTATAGTTTCTTCGCACTCGTCAACTGCGTAATTTATGACGTCATAATTAGAACAGGAAAAACAACGCGAACACTTTTGAATGACAGTATAATGTTCAAAAAGTTTTAGATTTTGAAAAAAAATGTGATCTTTAGAAGCAGGCTAAATAGTACACGTAGATAGTAGTGAACGTATTATTTGTTCTTTATTGATAAAACCGTAGGAGCCTAAAGGTTCCCTCATCTATCTGTTACGCCTGTCTGTATGTCTTCTTGCCTGTTATTCTACACCACTTGATTGTTTTCTGACTTTTTATCCCTACATGCGTGCAGATATTGAGCCTGATTGCACTTGTTTATTATAATCTACAATACTCTCAGAATGGTTGTTCTTTTGTATATGTTTTAGTTAACTAATGTGTATTTCTGAGAGATATCTTAAATACACAACAATATACTTAGTGGAGAGAGAGAGAGAGAGAGAGAGAGAGAGAGAGAGAGTCTTACCCGACTTTCCTTAATTAAGAGGAATGGGTCATACAACAGTTCTATGGGGAAAGTGCTTTATCGTACTTTTTTAAAACTTACAAGCATATACTATTTTTTAAGAGATCTATTTAATTATAAACTCTACTTGCTTATTTCGAAACTCTGTCGTTTAAGTGTATTTTTTCAATTTTTAGTATATGGGGAAATGAATTTTTCTCACTGAATAAAGGGGAAAGTATTTCGGAATCCCTCTAAATTTTAAATATACGATATAAAATATACAATAATTAACTGTACTTCTTATATGAACTTAGCAACATGTACTTAACAATACATGTATAATGTTGCTAATTTTAAAAATTTAGATTGCATATAGCTGATATTAAAATATGACACTGCAAAGAGTATTACTTCCACATTAAAAACTATTTTGAAAAATTGAAAAATTTAAGTATTCCCCATACTGTTACCATACTCTCTCATTTTCCCCATACTTATTTTTGAGTCTCTTTCTCCCACTCTGAACTTTCATTGAAACATTCCCCGACTTTCTAACCGAAATTACACGTATCTTATTTCAAATCTTAAACTATTCCTACCGCAAATTGTTTCCACACACCATCTCATCAATATACCTAATGCTATTTCTAATCCCTCTCACTTCACTTTCCCCATACTGTTTCTAGACTCTCTAACTTTACTTTCCCCATACTGTTCTAGACTCTCTCCCTTTACTTTCCCCACATTGTTTGTAGACTCTCTCCCTTTACTTTCCCAATACTGTTTCTAGACTCTCTCACTTTACTTTCCCCATACTGTTTCAAGACTCTCTCACTTTACTTTCCTCATACTGTTTTCAGTCTCTCTCACTGAACTTTCCCCATACTGTTTCTAGACTCTCTCACTTTACTTTCCCCATACTGTTTCTAGACTCTCTCACATTACTTTCCCCATACTGTTTCTAGAATCTCTCACTGAACATTCCCCATACTGTTTCTAGACTCTCTCATTTTGCTTTCCCCATACTGTTTCTAGAATCTCTCACTGAACATTCCCCATACTGTTTTTAGACTCTCTCACTTTACTTTCCTCATACTGTTTTCAGTCTCTCTCACTGAACTTTCCCCATACTGTTTCTAGACTCTCTCACTTTACTTTCCCCATACTGTTTCTAGACTCTCTCACGTTACTTTCCCCATACTGTTTCTAGAATCTCTCACTGAACATTCCCCATACTGTTTCTAGACTCTCTCACTTTACTTTCCCCATACTGTTTCTAGACTTTCTCACTGAACATTCCCCATACTGTTTCTAGACTCTCTCACGTTACCTTCCCCATACTGTTTCTAGAATCTCTCACTGAACATTCCCCATACTGTTTCTAGACTCTCTCACGTTACTTTCCTCACACTGTTTCTAGATTCTCTCACTTTACTTTCCCCATACTGTTTCAAGACTCTCTCACTTTACTTTCCTCATACTGTTTTCAGACTCTCTCACTGAACATTCCCCATACTGTTTCAAGACTCTCTCACTTTACTTTCCCCATACTGTATCTAGAATCTCTCACTTTACTTTCCCCATACTGTTTCTAGAATCTCTCACTTTACTTTCCCCATACTGTATCTAGAATCTCTCACTTTACTTTCCCCATACTGTTTCTAGACTCTCTCTCACTTTACTTTCCCCATACTGTTTCTAGACTCTCTCACGTTACTTTCCCCATACTGTTTCTAGAATCTCTCACTGAACATTCCCCATTCTGTTTCTAGACTCTCTCACTTTACTTTCCTCACTCTGTTTTCAGACGCTCTCACTTTACTTTCCCCATACTGTTTCAAGATTCTCTCACTTTGCTTTCCCCATACTGTTTCAAGACTCTCTCACTTTACTTTCCTCATACTGTTTTCAGTCTCTCTCACTGAACATTCCCCATACTGTTTCTAGACTCTCTCACTTTACTTTCCCCATACTGTTTCTAGACTCTCTCACGTTACTTTCAACATAGTGTTTATAGAATCTCTCATTGAACATTCCCCATACTGTTTCTAGACTCTCTCACTTTACTTTCCCCATACTGTTTTCAGACGCTCTCACTTTACTTTCCCCATACTGTTTCAAGACTCTCTCACTTTACTTTCCTCAAACTGTTTTCAGTCTCTCTCACTGAACATTCCCCATACTGTTTCCAGACTCTCTCATTGAACATTCCCCATACTGTTTCCAGACTCTCTCACTTAACTTTCCCCATACTGTTTTAAGATTCTCTCACTTTACTTTCCTCAAACTGTTTTCAGTCTCTCTCACTGAACATTCCCCATACTGTTTCTAGACTCTCTCACTGAACAATCCCCATACTGTTTCTAGACTCTCTCACGTTACTTTCCCCATACTGTTTATAGAATCTCTCATTGAACATTCCCCATACTGTTTCTAGAATCTCTCACTTTACTTTCCCCATACTGTTTCTAGACTCTCTCTCACTTTACTTTCCCCATACTGTATCTAGAATCTCTCACTTTACTTTCCCCATACTGTTTCTAGACTCTCTCTCACTTTACTTTCCCCATACTGTATCTAGAATCTCTCACTGAACATTCCCCATACTGTTTCTAGCTAGAATCTCTCACTTTACTTTCCCCATACTGTTTCTAGACTCTCTCACTGAACATTCCCCATACTGTTTCTAGACTCTCTCACTTTACTTTCCCCGTACTGTTTCTAGAATCTCTCTCACTTTACTTTCCCCATACTGTTTCTAAACTCTCTCACTTTACTTTCCCCATACTGTTTCTAGACTCTCTCACTTTAATTTCCCCATACTGTATCTAGACTCTCTCTCACGTTACTTTCCCCATACTGTTTCTAGAATCTCTCACTTTACTTTCTAGAATCTCTCACTTTACTTTCCCCATACTGTTTCTAGACTCTCTCTCACTTTACTTTCCCCATACTGTTTCTAGACTCTCTCTCACTTTACTTTCCCCATACTGTTTCTAGACTCTCTCACTTTACTTTCCCCATACTGTATCTAGACTCTCTCACTTTACTTTCCCCATACTGTTTCTAGACTCTCTCACTTTACTTTCCCAATACTGTTTCTAGACTCTCTCACTTTACTTTCCCCATACTGTTTCTAGAATCTCTCACTGAACTTTCCCCATACTGTATCTAGACTCTCTCACTTTACTTTCCCCATACTGTTTCTAGACTCTCTCACTGAACATTCCCCATACTGTTTCTAGAATCTCTCACTTTACTTTCCCCATACTGTTTCTAGACTCTCTCTCACTTTACTTTCTCCATACTGTTTCTAGACTCTCTCTCACTTTACTTTCCCCATACTGTTTCTAGACTCTCTCTCACTTTACTTTCCCCATACTGTATCTAGAATCTCTCACTGAACATTCCCCATACTGTTTCTAGAATCTCTCACTTTACATTCCCCATACTGTTTCTAGACTCTCTCACTGAACATTCCCCATACTGTTTCTAGACTCTCTCACTTTACTTTCCCCGTACTGTTTCTAGAATCTCTCTCACTTTACTTTCCCCATACTGTTTCTAGACTCTCTCTCACTTTACTTTCCCCATACTGTATCTAAAATCTCTCACTTTACTTTCCCCATACTGTTTCTAGAATCTCTCTCACTTTACTTTCTCCATACTGTATCTAGACTCTCTCTCACTTTACTTTCCCCATACTGTTTCTAGACTCTCTCTCACTTTACATTCCCCATACAGTATCTAGAATCTCTCACTGAACATTCCCCATACTGTTTCTAGAATCTCTCACTTTACTTTCCCCATACTGTTTCTAGAATCTCTCACTGAACTTTCCCCATTCTGTTTCTAGACTCTCTCACTTTACATTCCCCATACTGTTTCAAGATTCTCTCACTTTACTTTCCTCATACTGTTTTCAGTCTCTCTCACTTTACTTTCCCCATACTGTTTCTAAAGACTCTCTCACTTTACTTTCCCCATACTGTTTCTAGAATCTCTCACTGAACATTCCCCATACTGTTTCTAGACTCTCTCACTTTACTTTCCCCATACTGTTTCTAGACTCTCTCACGTTACTTTCCCCATACTGTTTCTAGAATCTCTCACTGAACATTCCCCATTCTGTTTCTAGACTCTCTCACTTTACTTTCCTCACTCTGTTTTCAGACGCTCTCACTTTACTTTCCCCATACTGTTTCAAGATTCTCTCACTTAACTTTCCCCATACTGTTTCAAGATTCTCTCACTTTACTTTCCTCATACTGTTTTCAGTCTCTCTCACTGAACATTCCCCATACTGTTTCTAGACTCTCTCACTTTACTTTCCCCATACTGTTTCTAGACTCTCTCACTTTACTTTCCCCATACTGTTTCTAGACTCTCTCACTTTACTTCTCCATACTGTTTCTAGACTCTCTCATTGAACTTTCCCCATACAGTTTCAAGATTCTCTCACTTTACTTTCCTCATACTGTTTTCAGTCTCTCCCACTTTACTTTCCCCATACTGTTTCTAGACTCTCTCACTTTA